GGTATAAACTCTCTTCACAAAATAAAACTACTAATTCTGGAATTTATTTTATGTCGTAAGTAAATCACCTCATCAAAAAATATCAAATGTTAAAATGATTTAAAATTTTTTCGACAAAAAAGTTATGAATAAAGATGCTAATATCCCTCCTAAGTGACCCGCGTATGACTGCAATCAAATAATGTATTTATTCCAAATCATTGGGTAAATTCCCAACCATTATAAAGATATTTAAATTAAACCGATGTTAGGGCATCATCTTTAAAGAGGCCTAGCTCCCTTATAATCCGTTCACAAATTCGAGAGCACGAAATGTACCTCAGTCATAAAACGGTCGTAAAATTTGTATCCAGAGGCGTTCCTGAGGTGTTTATTCATTAAAATTAATGCGTTTTACATTTATTTTCCTTTCCAAAATGTTTATCAATATTAATAATGTTTTAATACTAATATTTTTAGCAAAAAACAATTAAAACTTCTACGGCTAATGTTGGTTATTATATTAATAAAAATAATAATTTAACCATTAACAATTTTATAAATAAGAATACCTTATCTCTTTGGATATTTCAATACTAATCTTCGCGTTTAATCACTTTACTAGAAAACCTGGAATTCATATCCGAAGGTACTATTCGTTACAAGATAATTAGGAGGAAATTCCCCAGATTTTTAATAATATAATGGGTATAAAGATGTTTTAACAGGGACGCGAAGAAATACCAAGAAACCATTCAGACAATTAAAAAAGAAATACGAAGAGCCAAGGAGACATGGATGCAAGAAAAATGTAAACTAATCGAGGAGCTCCAAGAGAAACACGATCATATAAATATCCACCAAAGGATTCGTGAAGCCACTGGTCAATACAAGAGGAGAAACACACACCTCCTCATAAATAAAGACGGTAATCTGGCGACGACAGTGAATGAGAAGTTGGTTACCTGGAAAATATATATCGAAGAACTTTTCTGGAATGACCGAGGCAAACTTCCGGAAATAAATTGCATGACCGGGCCGTCAATTCTAGAAAGCGAGGTAGAGGCTACTTTAATACAGTCTAAGAATGGTAAGGCTACAGGTCCGGACGAAATAACTGTTGAACTTATTAAGGTGATGAGTGAAGTGAGCACGAATGAGTTAACTGAACTCTTCAACGCCATTTACGATTCAGGTAATATCTCAGAGGAATGGCTATTGTCAACATTTGTAACGCTACCAAACAAACGATCTGCGAAAACGTGCGAAGATTTCCGAACTATCAGTCTTATGAGTCATGCACTTAAAATTTTTCTAAAAATCATACATGCCAGAATTTACAAGAAATGCGAAAAAATGTCGGTGAAATGCAATTCGGATTCCGCAATTCCATGGGTACACGTGAAGCACTTTTCACCTTACAAGTCCTACTTCAGAGATACCGCGATGTCAGTTGTGATGTCTATATTTGTTTTATTGACTACGCCAAGGCATTTGACCGTTGTCAGCACCAGAAGATGGTCACCGCACTACAAAGAGTAGGATTGGATGAGAAGGACATTCGGATCATCATGAATTTATACTGGAACCAGCGTGCTCAAGTCAAGGTCGAAGACCAGCTGACCGACCAAGTGAAGATCATGCGAGGAGTAAGGCAAGGATGTGTTCTATCGCCGACTCTTTTCAATATATACTCTGAGGAGATTTTTAATGAAGCCCTCACAAACCTAGACATGGGAATCCGAGTGAACGGTGAATACATCAATAATATCCGCTACGCCGATGACACTGTGTTACTAGCAACCAGCCTAAACGATCTGCAGGCCTTACTAGACTGAGTGGGAACTGTGAGCGTAACATACGGACTGAACCTCAATATTAAGAAAACTAAATTCATGGTTGTCAGCCGTACAAATTTAGATCCCGGGGCACTAATGGCAGGTAGCGAAGAGATCCAGAGAGTCGACAGATTCACTTACCTCGGAACTACCCTCAACGTACAATGGGACTACGCTCAAGAGATTAGATCCCGAATCGAAATGGCACGGTCTACATTTATTAAGATGAGATCCTTGCTGTACTGCAGTGATCTCAGTTTGGGAACCAAGATGCGGATAGTGAGGTGCTACGTTCTTTTAGTGTTACTATATGGAGTTGAAGCCTGGACACTGACGCAAGCCACTGAAAAACGAATCCAAGCTTTCGAGATGTGGATATACAGAAGGATACTAAAAATATCTTATGTGGACCATGTCACCAACGTTGAGGTCCTACAGCGCATGACAAAAGAAAAGAAGTGCTTAATTTAATTAAACAACGTAAGCTTGAGTACCTCGGCCACGTGATGCGGAACGAAGAAAAATATGGAATTCTTCAACTCGTTATGCAGGGTAAAATATTTGGCAGAAGAGGACCGGGACGTCGTCGTATCTCGTACTTGAAAAATCTCCGACAATGGTTTGGGATGACCTCAGCGGAGCTGTTTCGCAGAGCAGTCAACAAAACCATGATAGTATTGATGATCGCCAACATCCGGACCGGATAAGGCACTGAAGAAGAAGAAGTATAAAGATGCCGGCTTTGGCCACGTGCCTCATCTGTTCAGTTTATATTTGAAACTTAACTTGAAAGGGTGAAGTTATTACGAACGAAAACAATTTTTTTGTTTAGTACGTTTTTGATCGCATATAATTTACGGCTCGTCGGTGTTCCGCGTCTACGGCAGTAATTAGCGTCTCGAATATTTCTTTTGCGAATTATATGCAGTGCGTGAGTGATTTTTTATTCCTTATACCTACGAACGTATACGTACCTTTCGCTCGTGCTCGTTTTGTTAGATTGTTTGTGATGGCTTCATCATCAACATCATCAAGTTTTACGCCGGTACTGTTGCGTACAGTCAGTAAGTCTGTCTATTCACCAAGAGAGAAGACTATTGTACTGAATGTTCAGTATGCTCTGGTTTCTCAGAATCCCAAAAACACTGTTCGCAACATAGTCGAAAGTTGTGCCAACATGACTGGCGTAGGAGAGTCAACTATATATAGGTTCCTATCAGACTATCAGAAAGAAAAAAACACGGTATAGCTAACCCAAACACAAACGAATACTTAAAGAGAGGGAAAACTATTTAAATTGATGAAATTGCCAAAAATGGTATTCGAAGGAAAATTCATGGATTTTTTTGAAAGAGAAATACCAAACCTAAACAAAATTTTACAAGAAGTTAGAGACGACCCGGATTTGCCTCATATCGGACGAACTAAATTGTGGCAAGTTTTAAAAGAATTAAATTTCCGGTGATATTTCCGGTCCAAAATCACTTTTGATTGACCGGGACCGGGAGGAGATAATATGTTGGAGAAGAAATTATCTAAGATCCATACGAAAATTCCGGGCTGAAGGAAGGCTAATCTTCTACCAGGATGAAACGTGGGTAAACTCAGGTCATACTCTAAAAAAAAAATTGGTGAGATAAAAATATATTAAGCTCCAGGCAAGCCTTTATGTAAGGTTGGTCTACTGGTATCACCCCACCTTCTGGTAAAGGCAGTAGATTAATAATTTCTCACATTGGCACTGAAAAAGGATTTGTTAAGCATGGTTTGTTGGAATTTCAGTCCAAAAGCACAAAAGACTATCACGAGGAGATGACAGCTGATGTTTTCGAAGAGTATTTTGAGTAGATGATTGAACACATATCACCAAATTCAATTATAGTATTAGATAATGCACATCATTCACGACTAGTAGAGAGACTTCCAACGACTGCGTGGAAGAAACAGGATATTCTTGACTGGCTACGGAATAAGTATCTGCCTTACGTAGATGGAATGGTAAAAGCAGAACTTTTAAAAATTGCCCGGCAACACAAATCTAAGTTCAAGAAATACGTAGTTGACAAAATAGCGGAAAGGCGAAACTTCACAGCCCTTAGACTTCCACCCTACCACTGCGAAATAAATCCAATTGAACTCATTTGGGCACAAATGAAAAGTTATGTCGCTAGAAAAAATACGTCATATAAAATACAAGCTGTACGTGAATTGTTATAAGAGTCTTTACAACATATTACAGAACAAAACTGGAAAGATGCAGTAAGACATGTAATAGAAAAAGAACAAAAAATGTGGGATCTTGATAACATAATGATGCGACTGTAGAGACACAACCGCTAATTATTAACCCCCAAGACGGCTCGGATTCCGAAGTTGATTTTATATATTTTGAATTTGAATAGTTTTCTAATCGTAATTATATAAGGTAAGTAATAGTAGTTGTAATCTTGGGGTATTAAAGGGGAAGGGCGCAAAATGTCGCCTGTCAAAATGTTCAATGTATTTTAAATGTATCACATTTTTTTTTCAAATCCTGAGAAAACTAAAAAGCAGTTTTGAAAAATTTAAAGGCAGAATGAAATATTTATTAGAATAAATAAAAAGTTTCTTTTGCATGCAATATTTTCAATTAAATATTATACTATATTTTCTCTTTTATTTTCACCCCTGTTACATAACATATTAAAATAAACATTGTAGAAGTTTTCAGGGACTTCTGCTCTCATATATAATACAATTTACATAAATACAATTTAAAACATAATATATTTATTTAGTTTAAATAAATGTTTCAATCATATACTCTACGACACTGGTCGGTCATCTGTAACCAAAATACCTTCGTAATCGGATTATAAGGTTGACTGCTTTATTGTATTCCTTCAGATACAAGGTGGGTTAGTCGAAAACATCTTAAACCGTCAGTTTCAGGTTGGTTTTTACTATTACATCGTATTACCTATCCTCTCTGTATTTCAGTTCTCTAATTAGGGTTAAACTTGTAGTGAGCTATCAACAAATTGTGAACCGATTATAGGAAACATTTTTCAATGAGGTGTTTTTCGACAACTCAACATAAAATGAGTTCCAGAATTTGTAATTATTTTCTTTTGTGAAAATCGATTATGGACAGCCCGGATAATAAGTGATAACTTTATTATTATAACTAATTTTTATTTTTAGAATAGAAGAATTCCTTCTTCTGGAAGAGACCGCACCGAAGAAAAAACTTGGAGAAAAAGGTACATTAGCAGGGAAACCAGGCGAAATAGAATTGTTCAATGCCACAGCAAGCTGGTCAGAGAATCCAATAGTACCTACATTAGTAGATCTAAATTTACACTTAACGCCAGGAACCCTGTGTTGCGTTGTTGGAAATGTAGGAGCTGGAAAAAGTAGTACATTACACCTTTTGCTCAAAGAATTATCGCCTACGAATGGAAAGGTGAATGTTTTCGGAAATGTTGCATATGCTAGTCAAGAACCATGGTTATTTGTTTCTAATGTACGGGAGAATATTTTGTTCGGTAGACCTTACGATAAAAAGAGGTATACTTTATACAGTTTAGTAAATATTGTACATTTTACTATATCATTTTGCATACAAGTGTTACTTATCATTACCATGATATTTTCGTTTTCTTACGCATCTTTCTATTTATGGTCAAATTAACTTGAGCCTTCTTTACAAGCATTTTTTTCATCTTCTACTGTTTCCAGAACTCGAATATTAGCAGTTTTTAAGTATTTCTAGTATTTACGTTTAACTTACTCCCGCTTGTGATCTAATCTTTTAGTATCAATTAATGCTATTCTTCTTAACTCCTTAATATTTATGATCCTATATCGTTCATTTTGTATATTTCCATATTAACTTAAATCAGTTTTTAAATTTATCTCTGCTTGTACTTATTTAATTTGTAAATATTACTACTGGTTGGTATAGTATTAATAATTGGTATCTTTCTCTTACATATCAAATGTAATCCATCGTCTATGGTGAGAAGTCCAACGTATTTTTTAAGTCTATAAAGCGTAGATATACTGTTTTTTTAATTTTCCAAAAATTTTTCTTAATACAGATATGGCATATATCCTGATTATTCCCTTTAACTTTATCCATATGTTGGGTCATTGCAATATTAGTCCTCTTTACCGACATGTCCTGCCTAAGCGCCTTCCCCAGGTTTCTTTGATCTTCCTTTCCTATTCCTTCCAGGAACCGGCAGATCGATTGGAGATCTTACACATTGAATATGCTCGAACCATCTTAATGTATGTTCTCGTGATTTGGAATCAATGGGTGCAACCTTAAGTACGCAAAACTTTTTCCGTACATCATAGCTGGTTTATGACAGTTTTATAGAATGTTCCTTTCAAAATTCTTTAAATCCGTCATAAAACCAGCTATAATCTTTATGTCGCATAACACACCACTCGCTTCCTTCCACTTCATCGAACCCGACCTAACTATACCGCAGGCTTCTATAAATATTTCCTCAAAAAATTCAAAAATTATCATTTTATCTGTAATGATAACTTCATCTGCATATGTCCATTCAAAAAATACTCTGTTTTGGTTGTACAAAGTTTTAAACCTTATTCCTATGCTGACTCCTTGTGCAATCCTACGTTTACATAAAATTAATCAGTGTCCCCCACACCTGTGGTTACTCCCTCATACATGTCTCTCACAATGTTCACATACTCACCGGGAACTCTAACGTTATTGAGCACCCACCACAGAATCTCTCGAGGAACTCTATCATATGTTTCTCAAGAACAATAAATACCATTTAAGCGTTTGTTTCATTATTCCCGTAGCTTTGTATCAGCTGCCTTATAATGAAAATAAATAAAATAATTATAATGAAGGTTGCATCTTTTTGTTTTTTCATACGTGTTTTCTACAGCCACTTTTGTTTAATGTTTTGCCTATTATTTTCTGTATTTTTTTCGATATTTACTAATTATTTTCATGAAAACCGTATCCGACAAGATTAATTACTCGTATAAATAGGGTTGCATCCTTAATCTCCTCAAATATATTTTTTAATTTTACTAAATTTAGATGTATTTTAGATATCAAGATGTTATTCGTGTTTGTTCACTTGAAAGAGACCTGAAGGAGCTACCACATGGTGATAAAACTTTAGTAGGCGAACGAGGTGCAGCATTAAGTGGAGGTCAGAAAGCTAGAGTTAACTTAGCAAGAGCCGTATATTCAGAAGCTGATATTTATTTATTTGACGATCCACTCTCTGCAGTGGATACAAAAGTAGGAAGACATCTATTTGATGAATGTATGGTGAAATATTTAAAAAATAAGACGAGAATTTTAGTGACTCATCAGCTTCAGTATATGAAGAAAGCTGATATTATTGTTATATTAAATAATGTAAGTAAATTGTTAGTGCTTTATTTTATGCAGTGTAATACGTCTAACCGTTTAAATTGCTCCACATCCTACATATTTTCTGAACCATAAAACTTTCTAGAGTTATAAATTTATTCGTAACTGAACGTGTTTTAATGAACGTAATGTGTTAAACTTACACCCTTTTGTAAGATAATTTTAAATGCAGTAATATAGAAGTTATTCTTTATAAAACCGTTGCACGTCATCCCATTCTGACGTCGGTGTTTTAGCAGAGAATTACTATATTGCCGGGATAGTAAAGAATGTAGTAGATTATGAAATGATGACCCTCAGGTAGTAAATAACAGTTGGATGAAGAATTCGTTTTCTCAAGACATTTATTTTGTCCTAAACACGGAATATATAAAAATTATTTGATTATTTTACATTTGTATAAGTTCTTCATGTACATATTCCACTTTCGTAGACCTTAGAAGGCACGTGTGATGGTATTTGATCCGTGGATAATAAATCGACGATTGGAGGAATGAATCAGAAGTCACATTTATTTCTCAACGCGAAATGATTGTCTACAGAGGGAAGTGTCTGATTTAACACATCAAACGGTAAAGTGAACTCGGTGAATAAATTCGACGAATGTAGTCGCCGGGCAGGACGGAAAATTATCGATTTTGTTCAACTCACTAAATCTGCGGAGTGGAACACGTTCAGCTTACCTGTTCCGGTAGTCAGGTAGGTATTCTTCGTTCAACACTTTCAACACACCAATAATGCCTCTAATGGATTTCCGTCCGGTCTTTTATATGGCCAGTGACGGTATAAAAACATAAATAGCTATACTCTAAAAGATAGGGTATATTATCGTTACAAAATTTTTCTGTTTAAAGGTTCAGGATAAAAAATTGCAGTGACCAAAAGGTAATAAGTTTCAAAAGAGAACTATATTAATGAAGAAGAAATAAGAATTTGTGTTCTTAAATTCAAATACAAAACAAACTGAATCTTTACAAAATGGTCATAATAACTAATGTTTTACGATCTCTTATATCTATAGTGCAGTTCAATATTCTAGAGTATAAAACTACTAATCCACTATTATAAAAAGTGATGCCCAAGTTGACGGTCTTTTTTGTCTTTGAAGTATCAAAACGGGCACTAAGTACTACGTTTATGGATTTACGTTTAATATTTCTGTATAGGAAGTCTAACCCTTTTGCGATTTTTTTTAATTTAATTTAATTATGGGCTTTGGTCTATTTACTTATGTATGTAAATGTAAAAACTATATGGTAAAAACACAAATGGTATGACACTGCGTTCATAAACAACTTTCCAATGTTGAAAGTAATTTTTTTCAAATGGTTCTGAAACTATTTTCTTGTGGTATTTCCGCGTTGGGGAAGGAGACAACCCAAATTTGGCAGTTGTACAGTTCGTCCCAAACCCTTCTTTCAGTGCGTCATAGTTGTTCGAATTCTCTCTAACGCATTAAGCTAGAAGTGACAGAAAAAAACGTGAATCTCTGATTATTATACATAGAACTTAGAAAATTAGGTATCGTTCACGGGTATTCGCATATTAAAGCGAATTCTACTTACGAACGTATAATTGGTTGGAGTTTAGAATACGCTAAATAGATATCCAATCAATTATGCATATAAATATAATTTGACACAGATGATCTTGATAATGACAGTGACAGTACTTTCACAATGTCAACTGATAAAATAATAATTGCCATTCCAGGTTTGTATTTTCAGACATTTTAACTACAGTGAAAATTAAATTTTGTATTTATTGTCATAAAAATATTTTAAATATTCCGAGATATACTGAGAATGAAAAAAGACTAATATTAAAATTATTAAATTAGTTTCAATTAGAAAAAGAGGCTGAGACATCTTTATTATCAGTTTCTGTCGTTCGCGAATCAGATTGTGAATTCCGGAATAAGATTGAGGAAATATCTTAAACTAATGCCTTTATGGATATTTATATGTATTAAAACGGTTCATTTTAGAACCACGACATTTTCTTGAAATGTAGGATATAATTGATACCAGCCACATATCTAGTGTAATCATTGATTTTCAAGAATCAGATTCTGAATGGGATTATAGATTGTTTGAAATATAATATTCATTTTTGTTATTCATAAAAAAGAAGGTAAACTTACATTCGGTATCTTGTTTTTTAACTAAACTCCATTAGCACGATTTCTTCTGGATATCGGAACTGGTAGATTAACTTAAAAATCAACTGCTTTACTATTTAAACTATTTATATTGTTTTTTTTAACTAAACGTTATAACCTTCTTTCATTTGCATACCAAATCTGGTAGAATTACTTAAAAATCAACTGCTTCACTATTTAAACTATTTCCACTATTTAATGACAACTCTTCACAAAATTAAACTATTGGTTGCCACACAAACTTATCAGAAAATTACTTATCCAAATATGACTGATTTAAATCGATATTATTTTATCACAAGAATGTTTACTTTGATGCCTTGCAATTGTCAGTAAATTTTTTTACCTTGCAGTCAACTCTTAAAAGATTCTAGGAGGAAGCGTTATTTTAAATAAACAAACCTTCCAATTCCCTAGTGTTTGTAATAAATAATAATAAATCTATAAACAAATCTTAGCTAATTAAGCACTTTCCATGGAATGTATAAATAAATAACCTTTTCACGTTTAGCCGATTACGATCCTGCAACTGTCAGATTTAACTAAAATGTCATGCAATAATTCTCGACATTCTTAAAATCCTATATGACGTTAAAATTAGTGACGCACTGAAAAAAGGGTTTGGGACAGACTGTATATACATTTTTCTTCTCTGAAAATCCTGAGTGGGGTTGTGCTCTCGATATCTGTGATATCAACTGCTGTTGATATTAAATTCTTATCTTTCTGTGACTGTTATAATTGATTATAGATGATGATATCTAACCTGCTTTTAACTATTTAGTGTTGGTATATTTTTACTGTTAACTTCTTTTTTCAGTATTGGCAACCAGATTTTGAAAAATTTCATAGATATGTTTGCTAAATAATTTTCTTCGTTTAATAGGACGAGGGCTGCTTCCTTAATTTTTATCTTTTTTATCTGTTTCTTTCGTAATTATTAATGCATCTTGAAGATTCATGCTCGTTTAACCCAACACATAGTCTTTGAATGTTCTCTCACATAAAAGTTGTTGCATTCGCAAGATAGTTTGTAAATATAGTTCTTTGCTCTTTCCTGTATGTTGTTGAGTTTGATATTGGATATAATCAATCTCATTGCATTAGTTGTTTTAAATTGTGTTGCAATGTTGTATTTATTTACTATGCTTTTTAATTCTGATAAGCCTCTTTTATAAATAGTATTTTTATTTACTACCTTTGCTATTTTTACTAATTAAATTGTATTTTGGGAACGATTTCCGAATTGAAAGTCGAAACATAAAAATCTACGTATTTTAAACTGAAATTGTCGATAAATCTCATTTAATATTTTAAATAATATTAAAATGCCAAAAGAATGTCTAGTGAGTGTTTTAAGATAATTTCTGAAGTTTTATTGTTTTCTTATTTCGATCTTGAACGATTTCTGATTTATAAATGACAAAGGATAATGTTGTTGCCTTTAAAAGGGCATTTTCGTTGGATTAGGAGTTTGGGGTTCTATCAATGATTTTATAAATCCATTTTTGATGTTTATGTTTACATCACATCCAAACATAATTTCTTGTTTTCTTTTTCCATGGCAAATTTGATCAATTCTTCTTTATAGCTGATGTTTATTAAAATTGTGTTTAATACTTCGAGACCATGAGGTCATATGGAAAACACATTCATAATCTACATACTTGTTTCTCCACCTTACTATGGTTTACTGGTTCTATTTGTATATATTATATATAATATATTGTTACATGAATTTGCATAATGAATTTGCATTTGCATGAATATATTATCAAATTGTTACATGAATTTGCAAATAATGAAAACACTGAAGAGCAAATGGCTGTGTAAAAACGTGTAAATTTTTTAGCGTGTAAGCGTTCATCCTGGTTGTCTAGTACACAGAGATCTTTCTTTCGCTCTTCTTATTATGGTAGTGACATCAGGGATGTAGCAGCAGTTTCTTATTTTCGCTACTGAGACAACACATTTCGAAAGCCTCCACACGTTTCAGAGATATCAATTCAACTAAACAGGTCTCATGTCCGACCATCGGGATAGATCTGGATTCTAAGAGTTAAAGGAACTTCACGGCAAAGGAGGTATTTCTCAAATTTAACGTAGGCGTTTTTAGCCATTGTTACTCTTATCTTCACTTCCAGGTTACAGTTCCATTTGCTGTTTAATGTACCTCCAAGGTATTGAAATCATTCAACCCGTTCAATAGCTCTATTATTTATATTTAATTGAGATTCCATACGGGGTTCTCTGCTGATTATCATTTATCTGAAGTTGCAAGCTGAAATTTTTTTCTACATAAATGTTGAACAGTAGTGTGGAGAGAATACAACTCTGTCTTACGACTTTCCTTATCTTCGTTTCCTCTATATAGAGGCTGTTGGCGATCCTTAGTCCCGTGGTACTAAGAGCAATGCAAAAACAAAATAAAATATAATTTTCATTACGTATTGATTTGTATTGATTCATACATAATACATCGTAGTTCTTTCTTTTGCCGTAAATATTTTATAAGTTTAAGTTCTTTATTCTTGTCAACTCAAGAAATGGTGCTAATAGTAGAAATATTTGAGGTTAGGGCTGTGGCAATACGCTGTAACACAATATTTTATATTTCTAAACATAACTGCATTCTTGTTTAAGTCACTTACGTCACAGCCCTTGCTGGCCTTAGTGTCCTTTATTATACGCTCTTTTTCAAAATGTCGAATTAATGAACGCACAATTTTTTTGCAATGTGTACATTTTAGATTTGTTTACATTTTACAAAACTTTTAAATAAACAGTTCCCAACTGTCATTTTCACTCCATAAATTATGAAATACTATGTATATAATTCAAATGTGTAAATAATAGTTTTAGAATTATTGTTACCGAGTTTCTAAGCATATTGGTTGTACTGTTGCAACAAACATACTGTTCAAAGCATGCTATACATGCTGTACAAAGCACAAACAGATAATGAGAACACTACAGAATGCACAATCAAACACTATCGATTTGGCAATCAAAAAAATATCGAAAAGATTCCATGATTTTCTGTATTTCTTAGATCTTCTTTGCATCCTACAGTTTGATGATCCCCACTGTTGTTAATGGACCACCCTCTCCCATAATTCGATCCTTTCGGGATTCTCAAAGATCGCATAAACTCGTTCAGATCTGTCGTCTGAGCTTTCTTCTCTTATTTCCGTTATTCTACAAGCCTCTGTTTCATAGCTTATATTTCTTTTGATAAAAAAGGTTTCATAGATATTACATTTTCGTTTTTTCCAATATCAGAGATCCACCATATTTGTTTTAATCAGCCTATTGTTTTTCTGGCTTGTTTTCTGATTTTCCGGACCTAATATTTTCTTATTTACTTTTAGGGCAGAATCGAAAAAGCTGCAAATTTTAGTGCGCTATCTCAGGATGAACTTAATGTTTTACAACAAGAACCTGAACCAGAAGAAAATGAAAAAGAAGTTAACAAAGAGCGATCAAAACTAGAAAGATCAGAAAGCGCCGTAAGTGAGAAATCACTTCGTTTAGAACGTTATCAGTCTAATACATCATTAACGGTAAGTTTTAAAGACTATTTCTTCATTACAAGCATTATAAAACTGTTTTTCGTAATATTAAAGGCTTACGAATACTAATTAGCATAATTGTGTTACAATAAAAAAGGACTCTTAAAATGTGAGCTCTATATTTTAAAACCAATCTAATTGTTTGTATAATTTTGTAAATGTTTTGAGGGCCTAAGCCATATACAATATTTTACGAACTTTAAACATACACGTTTTCAGTAACTTCCTTAATTTTTCGTCGATGGGTGCAAAATATAATCAATCTCTGCAAGTAATTTGTAAATGGGTCTTTTTCAGATGTTTAGTTCTTACTGAGTTATTTTTATGTAAACATACTTCTCACATTGCAATAACTTATACATCAGTGATATGATAACCAAAATTATAGCAAAAAACGGCCATTCTAAAATTATGCAAGGTGCAAAGACTTATTTATCAGTTATAGGGGCTCCGAGCAACTAGGTAGGCCCTACTAAATCTCCCTCCTCCGCACATTGTTGTGATAGGGGAGGTGAGAATGGGATATAGAGTTACGAAATGTTCAGATCAGAATACAGTTACATTATAAATGGAATTAGGAATACCGTATGGATAATGAAATGACCATATGATACCCAGATATAGGCCTAAACTACTAACTTGCCGAGGGTAGGTGGATATCTGTCCACTAGAAGGATGGGAACAAGTAAACAGACAAGCTGATACACAGACGAGTCTAAAACAGCAGAAGGATCGCGTGTAGAAATATTATAGTACTGGTGGAAACGTTAACGTTTCTATTTTATTCTATTTTGGCCTGGAATACGGAGGTTATTCCACTAAGGGAATAAGCTCTAATATTCTGTTAATATTATGTATCTGATGGAGAGTATAAGGGCAATATTTAATTTTGAGCTTAATTAATAAGGGCTTTGTAATTTTGATCACCAAAAAAGTTAAAATGCATAACAATTTTCTTAAAAGTATAAAACATGATATTAATTTAAAACTATTAAAAACAAAATACATATTTCTATTTTGAGAATGATTATACACATCTATTTTAAGACAAGAGGACTAATTTCTGGTTAAAATAAATCATTGTGATATAAGGTTGAATGCTCGAAAAAATGAGCTTTGATCAAATGAAAGGCAACAGTTTAAAATTTTAAAAAACGGCGATGCTACATATTGGTTGACATCAGGAGAGAGAAATGAAATGAGAAAAATTCTCTCTCCTGACGGCAACCAACATACAGCTTCGCCATTAGCAAAATTTAAAGCGGAAGCGTATGAAAATATATCTGATGAATTGATTTAAAAGAAAATAGTTTTAGATATCTAGGATCGATATTACAGGGTAATGGGTAAGATCTAGGGAGATGCATGCAGTAAAATTAGAGTAGGTTAAACGAAATGGAAGAACTAAGCAAGTAGTGTGTTCAGTGAAATTGAAAGATATGATGATAATTTTTAAAAAAGAAAAAATAATATCACTCAACACTCATTGCTGAAATGTTACAGATGTGATAAAGACAACAAAAAATGATGAAATGGCTGATTGTAAACATACCATTTATAAAATTGTAATTATACCAAACTCTATTAAATAAAAAAATTTCTTTGTTTTTTTTTTTTTAATTTATTGTGTTTAAATATTTTATATTTTACTGTTTTTGTCGGCTCGATAGCTCATCAGGCTGGCGTAGTCACTTTGTTGAGTAAGTCTAGTGGATACTAGGTAATAGTTAGTACTAATGCAGTAGTGTAAAATCCAAAGTTATCTGCATCTTTGAATTAGAAATTCCCTAGTGAATTGAGTCATCTTTTATGGTTTTGTACATTTTTTACCTTTTTGCAAGTGTATAAAATATTTTCTCAAAATATATTATATCTTTCTGACCGTCCTATTTTTCAAATCGAATGCCCTAGGTGTTCTTACATTGTGTTCTTAACTTAATCTTGTTGACTATATTTATTAAAAACGTTTTAGGTTTCCGAGGAGCCCGAAGATAAATCCAACGATAGAGAAGAGGAAGTTGAACAAGGCACTGTCCCATTGTCAACATTTGTTGAATATTTCCGATCAGGTGCAGGTGTTTTCTTTTTGACAGTAACAGCGGCAGCATTCATTTTTGCCCAAGCTTTTACCAATATAACTGACTTGTGGCTGACGCACTGGTAATACTTTTTATCTGTTGAATTAGATGATCTGTAATATTAAATATTACAGGAAGGGCTTAACTGAGCTTTTCATTTTAAAAAATCACTGTGTATGCAATAATACTCTTTACTTAAATGTATCACTAATAATATTTTTGTAGGACCAATGTCGAGGGAAAATACTACGCTGATATGTTGGCCAAAAATGTTAAAAATACCACTGAAGTAAATTCAAATAATTTGACAAACGCAGTAAATACCCTTTTACCCTTATTGACTTCTGCAGCTCCTCTGTTATCAACACTACCGACCTTACCCACAAATATTTCTGTCATGGAATCTATACCAACCATATCCTCTGCGATCGACACTACTACAGTTAGAATAGAAGCTGAAGAACCTTATGATCAGAAAACATATATAATCATTTATACCATTTTGATGTTTTCCAGTATGATTTTATTAACCCTGAGGTCTTTCTTGTACTTTATAGTATGTATGTCATCTTCAAGAGCTTTACATAATAAAATGTTCAGTAATATCCTTCAAGCTCCTATGAGATTCTTTGATACAAATCCTTCAGGTAACAGTATTTCTTAGTTTATACTATGCTTTATAGTTTTTAAATTTAACGTAAAAATAAAACACTGAACACTTTGTTTTCAGACTTCCACAAAATTTATTTTAACCTCTTATCACTACAGCTATTTCGGCTGATTGCCTTTATCAAGTGATCTATTTTTGGGATGCGTTTACACTTTATAGTCTCTAATGAAATAGGTTGAGGAGGGGTGAACTGTTTGTCTCAAGTTGGTCATTCAGAATTATATCTGTGTTTTTTAATTTGTTGATTTCCATAGATTCTAACAAGGATAGCTTAAGGCCTTTATTTTGAATGTGAAGAATTTTAAATTCGTCATTAAAAGAACGATTGTGATCTAGAAGGTGAAGTGCGTATGTAGAATCTGTTTTTCTATTATTGAAAGCCCTTTTATGTTCTGCTATTCGTTTATTAAAGTTTCTACCAGTTTGACCGATGTAAGTTTTTGGGCAGTCGTTACATTTAAGTTTGTACACATCACTGTGTAAGTTTTTTTTTGCTCTTGTTGTTTTTGATATATTTGCCTAGGTTGTTATTTGTTCGGAAAGCTGGTGTTATTCCTTTCTTTTTTATGTGTTTGGCTATTTTTGTTGATATTTTGCTTGTATATGTAATCGAGCAGAAGGTACTAGGTTTTTCTCTGGTATTAGAAATACTAATTGCGGGGCTTTCTTGTGTCGTTTTTGATTTAACATTTTATTAACTGTTTGTTCGTTGTATCCGTTGTTTACTGCTATTTGCTTGACGATATTTAATTCTGTCTCAAAGTTGTATTTTGACATCGGAATTTCTGTTAATCTATGTAACATACTATGATAGGCTGCCAGTTTATGTTGTGTTACATAGATTATATACATAGACTATATACTACATAGTATGTTACATAGATTAACAGAAATTTTGATGTCAAAATACAACTTTGAGACAGAATTAGATACCATCAAGCAAATAGCAGTAAACAACGGATTCAACAAACAACAACATAATACAACAATTAATAAAATGTTAAATCAAAAACTACACAAGAAAGCCCTGCAATTAGTATATCCACCACCACAGAAAAAAAAACCAGTACCTTCTGCTCGATTACATATACAGGCAAAATATCAACAAAAATAGCCAAACACATAAAAAAGAAAGGAATAACACCAGCTTTCCAAACAAATAACAACCTAGGCAAATATATTAAAAACAACAAGAGCCAAAACAAAAAACATTTACACAGTGGTGTGTACAAACTTAAATGTGACGACTGCCCAAAAACTTACATCGGTTAAACTGGTAGAAACTTTAATAAACGAATAGCAGAACATAAAAGGGCCTTCAATAATAGAAAAACAGATTCTACATACGCACTTCACCTTCTAGATCATAATCATTCTTTTAATGTCGAATTTAAAAAATTCTTCACATTCAAAATAAAGGCCTTAAGCTATTCTTGTTAGAAACTATGGAAATCAACAAATTAAAAAACACAGATATAATTCTGAATGACCAACTTTCGACAAACAGTTCACCCCTCCTCAAGCTATTTCATTAGAGACTATAAAGTGTAAACGCATGCCAAAAATAGATCACTTGATAAAGGCAATCAGCCGAAACAGCTGTAGTGATAAGAGGTTAAAATAAATTTTGTGGAAGCTTGAAAACAAAGTTTTTAGTGTTTTAGTGTTACATAAAATGAATTTCCATCAAGTTACTGTCGAATCCATTAATTATTTAAATTTAATGTTTTTAACCCGAATATGAAAATACAATTTTAAAGTAAGATGAATTGTTATCGGAGTAAATAAGCCGTGTTTAGGTAGAGGTTGTTTATTTTTATTCCTATTTATTCTCCGGAAAAAAGCAATTATGGAAAAATCTTTTAAACCCCGTTAACAATGTCTATATCGCCGATAAAAGCAATAAATAATACTTTAAATAACTTCTTAAATATGTATAGTCTCCTACCAATTTCGGTTATACCAGAGTTGACTAAAACTTCCTTATTTTAAATAAAACGGCCTGAACGAACAACTCTTGAGAATACTTACAATAATATGTTATGCTTCCTTACACCGAGTATTTTACAAGATACGACTAATTTATTATGAGACATTGACCGATTTGGCAAAATGTATCTTTATAAATACTAAAATGTTGTGAATAAAATATTCAATATACAAGGTGGTTCAAAACGCGTACCTAAAAATTTATTCTCTATCTATCTATACAGCCCGTGCTGTCCAATTTTGGACCTAGGCCACCTCTTCCTTCTTCCACTTCTCTCTATTGTAGGCAGTTTGTCTCCACTTCGGGCCTGCGTGTTTCTTTAAGTCATCTGACCATCTCATTTGTGGCCTTCCTCTTTTTCGTTTGTAACTATATGGTCTCCAGTGTATAATCATCTTATTCCATCTGTCGTCTTTCTGTCTTATGGTATGTCCAGCGAACTTTTTACTACTAAACTATTTCTTTTCTTGTCTGCTAGCTTGATGTTCAGCATTTGCCTTTCCATGTCTCATTTGGGTCTTTGCTATTGTTTCCATGTTTCCTTTGTAAACGTCCAAGTTTGAGAACCGTAAGTGAGAACAGGAAGTATACATTGGTTGAAGACTCTTGTTTTTAAATATTGGGGGTATTTTCTATTTTTTAAGTATATAGGAAAATTTTCCGAAGGATACCCAAGCCAACCGTATCCTTCTCTTTATTTCTCCAGTCTGATTTTCTTCATTTAATTTATCTAGTTGTCCCAAATATACATATTCTTTTATTTGTTTTATAGTTGTTTGTGCAATTGTAATTATTAATTCTTCTGGTTGGTTGGTCATAATTTTGATTTTTTTATAATTCATTTGAAGACCTATTTTTGTTGATTCGCTATTTAATTCATCCATCATATTTTGTAATTCTTCCCTTTCATCTGTTATTAATACAATGTCGTCTGTATATCTCAAGTGATTCAAGTATTGGCCATTTATGTTGATACCCCGTTTTTCCCATTGTAATTTCCTCATAACGTGTTCCAAAGCTTGATTGAATAGTTTGTGTGATATAATGTCACCATGTCTTACTTCTCGCCGTATCTTAATAGACTCCGTTTGTTCAACTATTTTCATGAATGTTGTTTGAGTAAACAATTAGTAATCTACAATTGTAAAGCAATTTTTAAAAATTTTAAATATAGGAATAAGTTTTATGTAAAAATATGACAGACTGTGATAAGTTTTATCGACATGGTAGAAAATCATTGATGATCCAACCTCATTAAGTTTGTAAGTAGCGAATCTTTAATTAATTATACAAACTTGTAACAAACTATTCATCACATTTGTAGCTCCCTGATGAAGGACATAACCATGTCCGAAAGCTCGGAATAAAAATTTAAAAGAGTACACGTATCATTTTTATTGCTGCAAACCCAATATTGAAAATTTACTTCCTTGTTGTCAGCAAATACTTCTAGTTCAATATATATATATATATATATATATATATATATATATATATATATATATATATATATATATATATATATATATATAGTCTATTCTCCCATTTTGTAAAGAGTTCTTTACTTCCCAATGTTCCACCTTATCGAATGCTTTTTCAAAGTCTACAAATGCCATATACATTGGGATTTGATTTTCGTTCGCGTTTTCAATTAATATTTTTATCGTAAGCAGATGGTCGCTTGTACTGAATCCTTTTCTAAAACCGACTTGCTCTCTTGACTGGTAATTATCTAGCTTAGTTGTTAATCTGTTTGTTAGTAGTTTAGTTAACAGTTTGTACATTACATTAAGTAGCGTTATGGGCCTATAGTTTTTCATATCATTTCTATCGCCTTTCTTAAATAGTAATAGTGTTATTGTCTCGTTCTATGTGGTGGGTATTTGTTTTCTGTTCAATATTTTATTCATTAGTACATAAAGGACTTCCACTGTAGTTTTTTTACCCATTTTTCAGCATTTACACAGTTATTCCATCTTTCCCAGGAAATTTGTTATTCTTCATTTCTTTGAGTGCCTTTTTTATTTCATTTTTACCGATTTCTGGTTTTAGGTCAGAGATAACGTTCTTTATTTTTAGTTGTAACTGATTACGGATTTCTTGGGTTGGTTTTTGTTCTGTTTTATAGAGATTTGTATAATATTCGTGCGTTATCTGTAAAATTTCTTTTATATTGTTGACCTCCACTCCTTCTTTGTTCTTTATGCTATTAATTTGTATGTTTCCCAGGTTCTGCTTTAAGCACTTCATGTTTTATTTTTTTTTTCAATTGTTTTCTCTATTTTTTCTTCCTGTACTCTCCGTTTACACTACTTGATATTTTTTCTAATAGTTTTGTTTATTTCTTTGTATTACATTTTATTTCTGTCCCCTTGTTCTAGTAATGTTCTTCTTGTGTTCATAAGAATCTTTGTTTCCTGGGATATGAAACTTTCTTTTTTTGTTGTTGCCTGTGCTATTTCTGTACCCACTTTTATTAGAGTTTCGGTAAATATCATGTTTATTTCATCGATATGTTTGTGTTCTATATCCTCCTTGGTCGGCAATATTTCGTTTATACTCTCATCGTACGTCTGTTTTTCTTGTTTTAGTTTTTCCATGTCTAATTTCTGATTATTTTCCATTTTCTTTCTTGTTTCAAATCTACTATCAATGATCAGCTTGGCTCGCACTAGTCTGTGGTCGCTGCCAGTTGAGAAGCGATTTAGGGCTGTTACGTCTTTAACCATGGATTTTTGATTTGAAAGAATATAATCAATTTTGTTTTTTGTTTCACCATTGGGACTAATCCATGTCCATTTTCTTTGGGGTTTTTTCCTCAAGAAAGTATTAATTGCATGTAGTTGCTTCTCATCCAAGGACTTTATCAATGTGTGTCCTCTATCATTTCTTTTGCCGTATCCATGGTGTCCTACTTTGTCTTCTTCTTTATATAGTTGTTCTCCTATTTTGGCATTGAAGTACCCGATTATTAGCGTTAATTTTGATTTCTTTTCTTCCATAGCTATTGTTATGTCTTCATAGAAATGTTCAATATCTTCATCGCTGTAGGTACTTGTTGGAACGTACACCTGTATGATTTTTAAAGACGTTCTTTTTAATTTAAGCGTCGTATATGCTATTCTATCTGATAGATTGGTAGATTGTATGTATTTAACTACTTATTTATTTATTATAAATCCTACTCCATTGTTGGTGTTTGCTTCATTACCTTTATAGTATAGCCAATTTCCTGATTTTAGCTGTATTTTTTGTTCTCCTTTTCTTCTATATCCCACTGTATTTTAGACAGTTCTTCCTCTAGTTCGTGGACTTTAGTATCTTCGTTCATGGATCTGATGTAATACGTTCCTACATTTATGTTTGTCGAATATTTGCCTCTAGTGGGACTCCTTCCGTGCTATCGAGCCCTAGTAATTATTGTTGAAACACTATTAAATAACTTTTATTAGAATAGAAACGGTTCAAAATTATATTTATTTTACCTATAAATATAACATACAATTCACATCTTCGAATTGAACTTTACCATTCATTATAAATTAAATATTTTGGTATATGTTTATCATAATCATCAATTTGTTTATATTTTAGGTCGTATATTGAACAGATTTTCAAAAGATATGGGAGCAATAGATGAAATGTTACCAAAAACTGGTATTGACACAATCCAAATATTCACAGTTTTGGTAGGCGTTTTAGTTTTGGTTTTTATAGTAACCCCTTTGATGATTATTCCTACTATCTTGATTGGATTTTTGTTCTATTATTGCCGTAATGTTTACTTAGCTAGTGCACAATCCATTAAACGATGGGAAGGAGTAGGTACGTGTTTTTTTTTTAATTATTATATATACGCAATCTATAGTAAAAACTCTAAAATTATTTCAATGTAATTATATATGATTTCCATAATAGCACAAATATGCGAATTTCTCAAAAATTCTCTTGTGTAATGTTTTTTAATCGTGCTGCTTTTGAATCAAAAGCTTCTAGTAAAATCAAACTCTATCAGCTGTTACCTAGCAGAAAAGGATGCTTAACTGCTACTTTTCGCAACTCAGGCATTCATAGTTGAATTCGTAATGTGTCTACTAGCTACGCACTGTGTGATTTCACTTTGTATTCATATAAAACGTTAGGACAAACGCTGCACTACTGCAATTTTGTAACTGTCCAAACAAGTAGTTTCTGGATTCAGGATTCTGTAAGCATAGCATAATTACAATAAGTATAGTATGCAAAAATACTACGAACAAAACTTTGCAAGAATTAAAATGGGACAAGAAATCACCTCCCCTTTTCAAACAACAAAGGGACTAAGACAAGGCTGCTGTCTGTCATCCACCTTATTTAAAATCTATTTGGGCAGATCCTTAGTGAAATGGGTAAAGAAATGTAGAAACATGCGAATAACGGTTGAAGAAAACACGCTATATACACTTTTCTTTGCGGATGATCAGGTAGTAATTGCCGAAGACAGCGACGATCTTAGCTATATGGTAAGAAAACTGCAAGAGGAATATGAGGTGGCAGGTCTAAACATGAATATGACAAAATGTGAATATCTATCAGTGGGAACAGATGAAATATGTGACCTAGTCTTGGAAGACGACAAAATCAAAGGCGTGCAATCCTGCAAATATTTGGGGGTCATTTTCAACAAGAAGGGAAGTAGCGCAGATGAAATCAGGGAAAGAATAAACAAGGGTAGAGTAGCGACCCGTGCCTTAAACTCTTCTCTGGCAAAAAACAACTCGACGAGAAATCAAAAAACACATTTACGGTAGTATAGTCCAAGGTATTACACTTTACGGTTCGGAAGTATGGGACGTCACCAAATCTAATAAAAACAAACTTATGACGACAGAAATGGATTATCTGAGACGAAGCTGCGGTAGATCGAAACTGGAGAGAGTTAGAAACGAAAAAATAAGAAACGAAATGAAAATGGAGCGAAATATCAATGATGACATAGAAAGAAAACAATCTGGTTCGGATATGTTAAAAGAATGCCAGAGTACAGATGGCCTAGAAGAGTACTAGAATGGATCCCTCCCGAAAGAAGAAAGAGAAGGTAACCACGGAAAAGTTGACGCAACGATATTGATGAAGCAATGGCGGCAAGAGATTTAGACGAGGCAACTGCATATGACAGAAAAAGATGGAAATGGGGGCAGAGAAGCGGCGACAGCCATAATCAATCCGTTATTATTATATTATATTAGTATGCAAATAGCTCAATTTTGAACTGATGATACGCACAGAATACTGGGAAACCACTTATTAGTAAAATTTGAGGATACGTACAGTACTGAGGACTTTTATTTGAAACACATCTTGGACTTTAGTGACGATACCTAATATTTATTGTAGGATAAACATAGTATAATATTTTAAAATATCTAGAGGTTAGTCTTCTGAAGACAAAGTGATGTACTCAAAAAAAGTGAGATTCAAAGAGGTGACATCTAAGTGGTCACCATATCTGCCAATCGACTATCAGAACAAATATAGTTAAAGTCCATAATAAATATTCTTACTCATTTGAAACGTAGCAGCATATAACTTTTTATTGATCTGATGAACTTTAAAGTATTTGTTAAATATATCGTCATAATATTCACATGTGACTTCAAAAACATCATCTGCTGTCAGATACAATGTGGTCTTAATAATATGAAAATTTGTTAAAAAGTTGATGAAACAAGAAAAAATAAAATCAATCTGTGAGTTTCTTTTCTATTTTTTAAATAAGCTATTGAAAAAATTTGAATAATTATTTTATTTTTTTTTTTGTGAATAAACCACAATTATAATTAATTTGTACCTACTAAGAGCACGACTTCCGCATTGAAAATCCAAACGTCAAAAATAAAGTATTTTTAGTTATAATAATTTATGGTTCTTAATTTTTTAAAATATATTCTTTAATATAAAAAGTAGTACAACCTGTAAATTTAGAACTTTCCTTTCTACTGTGTTCGGTTCGATTAAATATCATTAAACGTCCTGTTAGTAAGCATATAACCTATCTTCTGTGTGGAAGTTGTAGCCATAGACTTTGGTTTATTAGTGCCCCAGCTTGTGTATATTTGTCTACATTTAACTACATAAACTAGCATAATAGAGCTGGTAATAGAGCTTCTATTTTCATCCAGAACCTTTTATTTTATTTACCGAGAAGCGTTTAACAGGTTTCCACTTCGTTTTTTCGTATAGAAAATCCGTTTTAAACGACTCTTCCTCAGCGGATCTAAACTTAGAGTGGAATCGATCAGTGAACATTCTTGATATCGAGGAGCACATGGAACTTCACCTTGGATAAGTTTTATTGTAGCATTTTTATTAATAAAAAAAATCCTTTATAAAAGATATACATATTATAAAATTGTCCTTAAGGGTTACATCACAGAACGTTTTAGGACTAATAAGTCCATCATCAGTGCAGTTACCTAAAATAAGTGATAACCCTTTAATTAAAGCAAACATAAATATAAAATTTTGACCAAGGTGTGACCACGTGGTTGAACACTTACCAGGTATACATGAGGGAAGCCACTAAATATGAGGGTGAAAACCCTTTAAATGATATTTTTCGTTAAATTTAAATAATGTTGTAATTTTAAACAGATCATGGTAACGCAAGACTCCCAGAGGTTGCCAACCCATGAGAAGGTGGTTTCGCAATAGCAACTGATTAAAATGACATTTTTAAGAAGGATTGTATGAACAACGCAGTCAATGTAGTTACATTGACTGCGTTATTCATACATTCTTCTTAAAATGAACAACGCAGTGGCAGCGTAACTACATTGACAGCGTTGTTCATACATTTTTAACATTGTTTAAAATTAACAACGAATATGTGTTTATTAACAAAGTTAACTTAATTTAAAGGGCTTTTACCCTCATATTTGGTGGCCGAAAATGGCCTGTGTGTAACCCGAAAGGGCAATTTTATATATAATTTTATGTATATATTTTATAAAGGATTTTTTTATTAATAAAAATGCTACAATAAAACTTATCGGTGAAGTTCCATGTGCTCCTCGATATCAAGAATGTTCACTGGTCGATTCCACTCCAAGTTTAATTACTATTAAACTGGGAATAAGCCACAATTAAAGATAAAAATACGTTTATTTTATTGACGTTTCAATTTCCACTTCGGAAATCGTTCTCAAAATACAAACTGTTTGTTAAACTTGTTATAGTAAACTCTTAAATATTGGGGAAATCTGCAAAAAAAATTCTAATGTGTATCAATTATTTCACCTAACGTTTTCGCCAAAGAGAATTAATTTGGCTTCTTCAGGGCTGAAAGAGAATAAATTATAATTAGCTACCATATATTATCTAATAAAAAACATTTACCTTAACGTAAAATTTTAGAAATGTCGAGTTATGATGTTAAAAAACTTTAGCTAGTAACAACATAGTGGTGTTTTTTTGTTACTATGTGCAAAAAAGTTTATTTGTTAACGTTGGAAATGTATGGTAGCTTTGAACTTAAAACGCAAAGGTTTACCCAAGGACAATCGAAAAACTCAATGTAACTACATTTAAAGGAAGTAATTCTTTGAATTGTCGGCAATAACTAAATTTTTAATTGTTGTAAAGTTTGAATGTGAGCTTCTGTTTTCATAGAACGCAAGCGCCGAACACTTACAACTAGTCCTTTTGATATCTATGTCGTTAAGGTTCATTGGTAAAACCGATGAAGTTAGATCCCAGTCTGGGGAGATATTAGTTTAAAATTTTCTTAATTGAAATTCTTTTTTTTAATTAGTATATTGTTCATGTATTATACTAATTAAAAAAAAGAATTTCAATTAAGAAAATTCTAAACTAATATCTCCCCAGACTGGGATCTAACTTCACCGGTTTTACCAATGAACCTTAACGACATAGATATCAAAAGTCCTACTTGTAAGTGTTCGGCGCTTGCGTTCTATGAAAACAGAAGCTCACATTCAAACTTTACAACAATTAAAAATTTAGTTATTGCTGACAATTCAAAGAATTACTTCCTTTAAATGTAGTTACATTGGGTTTTTCGATTGTTCTTGGGTAAACCTTTGCGTTTTAAGTTCAAAGCTACCATACATTTCCAACGTTAACAAATAAACTTTTTTGCACATAGTAACAAAAAAACACCACTATGTTGTTACTAGCTAAAGTTTTTTAACATCATAACTCGACATTTCTAAAATTTTACGGTAAGGTAAATGTTTTTTATTAGATAATATATGGTAGCTAATTATAATTTATTCTCTTTCAGCCCTGAAGAAGCCAAATTAATTCACCACATTAGAGTTTTTTTTGCAGATTTCCCCAATATTTAAGAGTTTACTATATACATATACATATATATATATATATATATATATATATATATATATATATATATATATATATATTTAAAGGATTTTTTAAATAAAAGTTTTTTTATGAACTCTTATTTCTTTATGGGACAATATTTTGTCTAAATAATTCTTGGCGATCAACGTTGTATTGATTTCCATTAGAGCAGTTTTGTAACTCTCACCAACTCAAGTAAACTTCATAAAAAATACCTCAAGTATCTTGGTGTTTTCTTTAAGGATCCAAGTCTCTCTAATTTTGGTTTCTTTCCCGATGTTGATGAGACTGGCAGCTTTAGTCTACTGTGTATTATTTTTGAAAGTGGTTTCATTAGTTGTGAGATCTTAGAGTCGTCAGTTTTTTATTCTTATTCGTTTAGTCCATTCTAGTGTCACAAGTGTGGGTGCACTGCCTTGCTTAAAAGCATTTTGTCCCAACTTGTGGAAACACCATAGATACCAAGATAAAAAGAAATAGTCCAGACTAGGAAGGTCAAAGAAAAGAGGACTTCATTCAGTGCTGAGTCTACAAGTAAAAATATAAAAGGAACTAGAAGAGAAGTGATAAAGGTTACGGTGTTAACGATCACAATTGGTGTCCTTCAGCACTTCTGCAGCTTCGACAAACTTACTTGCTATGAGAAGGTTCAGCTTGTCCTGATAAAAGAGCATTTGATATACAGGGCCAAATAAAAAGTCTGTCGCTTTTTGATGGAGATCTTATATATAGAAAATCTTGCGAAGTCTCGAGGACTTATAGGTTAATGGAAGATGTGTAGTGGGCTACAGTAGATCGGTGTACAATAAAAGAATTCCAGATAAAAAAAGGTAACGAAATTAAGACACACAGACAGACATTGACAGTTATGTGTTTCTAGACACTAAACTGACATACAGGATTGGGTGCGATAAAATACGCCTTTATCTTGAGGTCTAACTTTAATCAAGTTAGCAAGTTGTTTTAGCAAGAGGTCTAACTTTAATCACACTACCACATCAAAATGGAAACGGACGATCGGGTTTTCATGTATAGTACAACTAGATTGTTTTATCCTTCTTGTTGATGGTAGAACATTGTTCTTACTATTAATAATTTGAGCTCCATTTCTAACTGCCGCATTTTAAGTTAAGATCGTAAATTTGATGATAGTAGACCAATTCATCTCCATATTGATAACCACCCTGAGGAATTTCTAGCTTTACGAACTAAAAACTTGCCCATTAGGTTTGAACATCTGTAGGCCATTGATTTTTTAAGCGTATACTTAAAGTATAGCAATATATTGTACTGATGGTAATTTAAGTGACTCCAATAAGGTGGCTATGTCTTGTAGGAACAGAATAGAAGGCTGTAAAATTAACATTGCTAATGTAATACTTAATAACAATCACCCGAAATAGTCGAAGAGGCCAATCAAGCAATCTCCAACATACAAGGATGTTCTACAAACTAGACAACTAATCAAAAAATTTATTATAAGGTTTAGTTAAGCAACTTTTGTCTTACTTTTTTTTCGATTGGCCTTAAACTATATTTTCAGTTTTGTTTTATACGTAGATACCACCCACAATATAGTTTTTTTTTTATTTTTTAAAATAATTATAGTGTAAATAGTATTTGTATTAGAATTAGTTCTCGCTAAATGCACACCAGCATGTTCGATAAACAAATTTAAATAATAAGTAATCAACTAGTTATATATTTATGATTTTAGCCAAAGCTCCAGTCTTTTCACATGTTTCTGCTACTTTACAAGGAATATCAACTATAAGAGCTTCAAATTCTGAAGAAATGGTCATAAAAGAATTTGACGTTTTGCAAGATCAGCACACTGGTACATATGTCTGTTTTCTTGTTAGTAGTACAGCATTTGGACTTTATTTGGATATTATCAGTACGATGTTTTTGGCACTACTTACCTATCAATTCTTAATTTTCAGTACCGGTAAGTTCAAGTTTAACTGTTAAATATTTTTTCCCGGTTATAAATAAATGTTTTCAGTTAAATATTAAAAGTGAGTTCGATAAATATTCGGAAAAACAATTCTCAATTTATTCTTAGCATCCATCAGAGTGAAGATATACGAAAAACTGATAAAACCCAAATTATATTAACTACCCAAGGAAAGCCGTCGTGTTTTAAATAAAATCTGAACACTTCCAAACACCAAATGTTATTAATTCCAAATACCATATATTTAATTTAATGTTTTTCATTTCGGGCTGATAGCTATATATTCACATCTTACGATACGAAATTTGAGTTACCCGCGTTGAATAGAATTAAGTGTGGCACGCCACTAATCGACACGTGCATCATTATAGACAGTAGACAGATTATGGGGAATCCAACGACTGCACATCTTTCTCACTGCTAAATGGTCACACAAAAATGTTTGTAATTTACTCATACCTATGCCCAATGATGCACGAATCTCATGATAGGTAACGTGTCAATTTTCTTCTGTCTTGCCGCGCACAGCATCAATATTTTTTTGGACAAGATCTGTGGGCGGACGGCCTTCGCCGCATTCCAAGAAAACCAAGATGAAGTCGATCAACGCGTTGTTGTTTAGTTAGACCAACTTAAAAATCGTTTAAAATTATCGCACGAAAATTTTCATGACTGATTTTCATTTTTGTCACGAAATTGTTTTGAAAATTCTTTGTTAATGCTAAACTATGCGATGTATTGTCAATATGCTAATGTTGTTTACCATAAGTAACGTCAAAATTTATAAAAATGATATTTACTATGATGATCGAGTAACTTGGCTCGCTAGATGGCTCTGTGCAAAACTTTTAGTTTACGCCTCCTAACTGCTGATTCTGGTTTTCGCTGATTTCTATACAAATAACACTTTAAATTTTGATGCTCTGAACTTAATACATATCCTTTTAATACATATTAGTGGCATAAAGTTTAATTTGGTCGAGTTTTTGAAGGTATTAGGACACCGGATAAACTCATTTCTTGACCAGATACATATAATCTTACCTTATTTCTTAAAAGCTGTATTCTTTACTCCCTATAAAATCATTATACCTATTTTTCACTATTACAAAAAAATTCTCTGTTTATGATTGCCCAGTTGTGGTGTTGTTACCATCGCATGCTCAGAATCTAAATTTAAAAGAATTGACTGCTCTAGAATATGGCAATAAGGGAGCCATCCCAGAGCACGAAAAGACAGAACAAAAGTAAATCAACTTACCTCATACCTAACGAGAGATTAGGCAAGTTAAGAATAAATCCATTAACAAATTTCTGATATATTTGACAAATGATTCTAGTACTGAATACTCGCTATGGAAAATCATCAAGAATTTAAAGACACCAATTATGCAAACGCCTCCTAGAAGAAATAAACAAGGAGGTTTTTGCGAAAAAACAAACAAAAAGCATTAGTTTTTGCAAACGCCCGAAAGTGTTTCCCAACCATATATAGTAAATATAGATGAATCTCTCCCAGAGTTGTTTGACAAGATGATGTGGTTATTCCTTTAACCACACCAAAAGAGTTAAAAAATAAAATCGACACGAACGTTAATCCCAAAAAGGCTCCCGGTTACGATCTGATAACTGGGCAGGTTCTTAAGGAGCTACGTAGAAAGGCCCCGGTTAAACTTACCGATCTAATTTGCGCATCGTCTCGTTTTAATTATGCTCCACAACTATTGATGGTAGCTGAGATAATCATGATTTCAAAACCGAACAAACTGTCACATGAAATGACGTGGTATGGGCCAATATCCTTGCTACCGATTGTGACAAAACTGTTCAAAAAGCTCCTGCTGAAGAGGCTGAAATCATTATCGAAGAAAGACAACCCCGATCACCAATTAGGATTCCGAAATCAGCACTCTACAATTGATCCTACCGGATCACGCACGTGATCGAAAGATCACTTAAGGAAGAAAATATTTGCTCAGATATATTTTTGAATGTAGCACAGGCCTGCGACAAGGTCTGGCACGAATCTTTATTTATACGTCCATGGGCACGAAGGATTGGATGGAGCATAAAATAAAAATGACCCTTCCTCTCGAATACTTAAAGATCCTAATTTAATATTTGCCACAGAGATACTTCAGGATTAAGCAGGAAGATGCTTATTCTGACCTAAGGAAAATTAGCGCAGGGCCCACAGGGAAGTGTACTGGGACCCGTCCTAAATCTCCTATACACTAAAGACCTTCCAGTTTCAGAGCAAAATGTTGTAGCTACGTTTGCTGATAATACGGAAATTATGTCTGTTGGTGATTAAATCATCAGAAAAGTCACAGAATGCAATTGCCGAAGTGGAGAAGTGGACAAACAAACGGTGTATTTAATTAAATTAACTGAAATTAGCATATATATATATATATATATATATATATATATATATATATATACTTCCTATAACCTTCTGACTGCAGCCCTAATAAATTGGTGGTTTTGTTTATATCGACAGTCACTAATATCCTGTATTTCTTATATATATATATATATATATATATATATATATATATATATATATATATATATATATATATATAAGAAATACAGGATATTAGTGACTGTCGATATAAACAAAACCACCAATTTATTAGGGCTGCAGTCAGAAGGTTGGCCGAGAAGTTAGAGAAACACTCTTTTGACTTTTTGTCAAGCTTTCGGAATTATTTTATTCGTTTTTCAAGACACTGTAAAATAATGTATAGTTAAAAACGTGTAAATATTTACAAAATATCACAATTCGTTAGTGTAACTTACTAGTCGTTGAGATTATTTAAAATAAACTTGGACACTCAACATTAACAATACAAATATAAAATATAATAATGGACGATACATTCTAAAAAATTTCTTCAGGATAGTAAAACCTAGTTTATTTTATGACATCTTTTGATAGTGTGTTTTAACTCTGATACATCGAGAATGGAAAAACAAACAATGTTAATAAAATGTAATTAGCTGTTCTTAATATTGTATTCATTTTCATTGTACGATTTTCAATATGAGCCTTTTGTTTCTTGAAAATGAATACAATATTAAGAACTAATTACATTTTAATCACATTGTCTTTTTTTTGCATTCTCTATGTATCAGAGTTAAAACACACAATCAAAAGATGTCATAAAATAAACTAGGTTTTACTATCCTGACCAAAGTTTTTAGAATGTATTGTCCATTATTATATTTTATATTTGTGTTGTTAATGTTGAGTGTCCAAGTTTATTTTAAATAATATCAACGACTAGTAAGTTACACTAACGAATTGTGATATTTTGTATATTTACACGTTTTTATCTATACATTATTTTACAGTATCTTGAAAAAGGAATAAAATAATTCCGAAAGCTTGACAAAAAGTCAAAAGAGTGTTTCTTTAACTACTCGGCCAACCTTCTGACTGTAGCCCTAATAAACTGGTGGTTTTGTTTATATATATATATATATATATATATATATATATATATATATATATATATATATATATATGGCAAAAAGTCAAAACAGCTCTAAGAAAAAATGGCTTCTCCATGTCTACGATTAAAAAGGCACAGAAATCTCAAAACAAAATCAAAGATCCAGAAGAATAAGAAGAAAAACCAGTCGGAAAAACTATCCTGCCGTATATAAAGGGTACGACAGACAAAATCAGCAGAGTGCTACGAAAAAACAAAATACTAACTATTTTTAACACCGACAAAAAAATCGCAATCATATTACCATCGGCAAAAACAAAAGTTGCATTGGAAAATCAATTTGTATACAGAATCCCGTGTGAGGACTGCGATAAATCGTACATCGGACAGACAAATCGAAGGATACAAATTAGACGCGAAGAACATCGAAACGCCATCGAAAGAAAACAGAAAACTTCATCTCTAGCACAACATGCCATACACACAGGACACAAGATAGACTTAAATGGAACAACAATGCTAGCCAACATCGAAAATAAGGCCAAACGTGTAATCAGGGAAGCCATAGAGATCGAAAAACATCCGAAAAATTTAAATACCAGAGATGATGCCCAAAAACTCCCAAATACGTGGAAACCAATTCTGCAGAAAAAAGTAGAAATTAAAATAGCGAAGAAGACCCCGCCCACCTTGCGCACGGGACCAATCACAAGAAGTGCTACAAGGTATTTAAACTCAACGTGCAGCGACCGAGAAATCAGTTCTCCTGAAACACAAGACGAAGGAGAACTAATCTGGCTTGACAATGGCAAGTGTGACCTTGCCGAAACGTCGTCAAAACAATGGTTTTTTTAAAAACCAAAACTATTTAACGCGGAGTCAAACCCGGAAAACGACTGAAATCACACATAGCTCCCGCGGAAATTTCAAATCCAATATACATATGGGGATGTACCAGTGCAAACAATGTAATTGTCATATAAAGGTACCAGAACAAAATACTTCGAGGCACAGTTGATGCCCTCTGGTATGTTCGTAGAGGTAAATGTAGAAACCGACACTGAGGTAATAACAAAACAAGCACAAGGATAATGAAAAAAGTCTTTTTCGACATGTAAATTTAGAGGTTCGTCAACTCTCAGACTTGGTGATTAAACGACTTAAACGAACAAAGCCACTTGATTTGACAGAGTGGATGTTAAACTAAAGTGCGAAAAGGTGCAGTGGAAAGTGTATAAGTTAAAGTGGTGACTAAACTAAGAGAGTAAAACTAAGAACGCTAAAGAATGAAACTTGGTATTAATAGATTTTGTTAGTTAAAGTTAGGCTAGAATTAAATTGGTTATTGGCCTTATAGACTAGATTGTAATAATGGAAACATATTGATGTCAAAGAAAAAAAATCATCAAAATCAGAAGGGTAAAATACTTCGGCCATATAATAAGAGGACCTCAATATCGCTTATTACGGTTGATCATTTAGGGCAAAATCGAAGGCAAACGCTAAGTCAGAAGGAAACAACTGTCCTGT